TAACGTGGATATCTGATGCTGTAAAATTCATGTGTTTGTATGAGTGCTAATGCAACTTGTACCCARTGTTTCAGATGGTGTCTCTTTGGAAGATCAGCTCCTCTCTGCTTTGCCATGTGTATAGGTACAAAGTGCATTTTCTTCTGATCTAACTGCACTAGAATTCCAGGCAAAGGACATCACTTTTATAGAGCTATACTATAAATCCATAAAAAAAAAAAATCCTGGTTTTATCTTATCTTGGATGTACACTGCTCCTGGTTCCCTGCAGATACAGTCTCCCTTGATACAGAAACCCAGACACTGATTTTKAAGACAGAGTTCATTTTGGACTTTATTCAGGCAATAGACCTTGGTTTTGGCTGCCTTCAGAAAACTGAATTTCAGTCAAGCAGAGTTGATTTTGTAATCTTGGATGATGATGGCATTTGTGATTGTTCAGTGAGCCTTCCAAGGGATCAGCCTACATTTCTGGGTTTGGACACAATTATTTTCATTCTGACAAAATTACTCATGGTGTGGAAGGAGATCACAACTATTGCTGGGGTAGATTTAGATTTTTCCCAGCAATAAGACGTTTTCTTGTTTGCATCATGTCCTGTGTTTTAAAAATTTTCAAAGTCAGTGGAGTAAAAGGCCTGATTTTCTTTTCAGAATGGTGTATGAGGTCAGCTGTCCAGAGATATCTCTCTCTTCACAGTATTTTTAGAAAAAGAGACAAATGTGTAGATTTTTTATATTATGCTAAAACAGGTATCATATTGAGATTTTAATTTTAGAAAACAACTGACTTCTCTTCACTAATTCACTTTTAAAAACCCAGCTTGGCACATTTTCTTTTTCCCGAAATGATACCTGTCTCTCTTAATCTGTATAAGATACCTGTAAACCAAAACATGCAATTAATTGAATTAAGTGGTTCAAAGCGGTATATGTAGTCTTTTATCCCCTTTTTCCCTCCCACTAATGAGGGAAAGAATTCTATGTTTATGGGATTATAAACTAGGCTCATGAGTTTAATGTGAAGCTGAAATAATTGGCATTGACAGTCTTATCAAACAAGAATAAAATTAGGATGGTAAAGAAAATGCAACCTAGAGAAATGAGACAGAACCAGAAACCAGGGAGCAGGTTTTTCCCACCRCTAGTGTTTTTGTATTTGGTGGTCACAATAGCATCTTTTTGAGATACATTGCTTGCTGTGGTGCACTGACCAAACAGGAGAGAGGCAGGATCAAAAGCTTTCYCAGGCTTTCCAGCTACAGACAGTTTCTGATGAACAGGGGTCCTAATAATTCGATAGAGCTTTATGCTTTATGACCCACTTACCGCAACTTCCTGTTGTAATTTTTGGTTTATTCACATCTAGTGAACATCATCGTGCTTTCGTTTTTTGGAGAACTGAATTTTTAGTATTTATCTGTTTAAAAGCAAACTCTTGGTTTGGAGTCAATTGAAAATGGGCTTTTAGAACAGAGTATTGACTATTATTTCTTTAAAGATTAGACTTTATTTCCAAATTTTGGATAGCTTTTTGTGCTTGTCCTTCTCTTTTTTTTTTTTTTAATATAGTGCAAGGTGCTACCACATTTGCAGGGTTTGATCCAGAAGAATCGAAGCACATGCTTAAGGAAAAGAATGGCATGCGGTTCATGAACCCCATAATTAGTTCCCCTTCCTAGCTCTAAGCAGTAATTAAATCTGTCACTTCTGCTCTGCTGATTCATTTATTTAGCTATTTAATTGCTCAGCTCAATACGTCTTTATCTCCGGAACTGCAACATTTTATTCAGGCAAAGGAATAGCATAAGCCATYATTATTTTTTGTCCAAGGGCAGGGACATGTAAAAGAAAAGAACACTAATACTAGATGRTTTGGTGGTGTTGTCAGTTTTCACTTATCAAACAAAACAGTATTTAAGGGAAAACTTCAACGAGTGCTTGAGGATAGCTTTCCATACACAAGCTTCCTTCTCCAGGAAATTATGTCAAATGCAAGGACCCAATATATCTGATCCAGGTTTCCATTTCCATAATGAGTTAACTTAAAGCACTTCCATAATTCTTTACAAAATGAGTGATCTATTGGTGGAATATTTTATAAACAGTTAAAAATTGCAAATATACATTAAATTGTTTATAAACTAGACCCTATCTTTTCTTTACACATTTCAGTTTTGGGATATTGCTCCGTCAGGGAGATTTCTGTCATCTGTCTCTTAGATTTATCATCAAATGGAGCATTTTGATCTGAAAAGCAAATGGCATTTGGAATACTTCCAAGTTTGCAAAGACAGCCCTTCTGAATGCCCCTCTGTGAGGCATATTTCCATACATGCAGTTTTTCTCATGTTACATTTTCATCAGTCCTTAAGGAAGGTTGCAAGATTCCTCTACCATTTCTATCCATAGGTTGGAAAAGCTGGTGTAGGAAAGCAGCACGCAAAATGATGAGGAGCAGATCAAGACAGATCAATACAAACAGGCCCTTTTGGCAAAGGAAGGTTTTTTWAAATTTTTATTTTTATAACCCTTTTTATTTCCCCTCTTTGAACTCTGGAATGACAGATACAAAAATTAAAGATACAAAATCCACCCAGAATTCAGAGACAAGGATATTTTTCTGTCATTTCTGGCCTCCGTGGCTCAGTTCCACCAATTTATTCATCTGCCTGGCTGGCTAAATTTTTACACCATGCACACAGTCTTGCATTTCACTCCATTAGTGACTTATTTTTGCTGTCTTGTTATTCAGTTACAACTATTCAGTTATTTAAATCATTGCTCATGTTTTCGCCAGGTAAGCTTACTATTCYAAAAATCTTTTTCCTGCTTACCTGGAGGGGTTTTTCTTGTTGAGGATTATGTCRGGTTCTTTTTTTCCTTCAGTGGGGGTTCTGTCCACTCTTTTGCAATGCAAAACACGTTTGTGCTGCTGCTGTGGACACCCAGCTTGGTCCTGMGTAGAAGCAGGAGCTGTGTACAGACCAGCCAATGGAACTTGGTGGGGTTTATCAGCCAAATTGCATGGAACAACTTGGAAATACAGCTGAATGTCCTACAGTAACTCTGGCTGCTGCACTGGGCGGCACAGACCCACACCATGCCAGTGCCAGAGTGAGCACCTCTGCTTCCCTGTCCCCTGTCATCAGGGAGGGCTTTGTCAGCCCATGGGCTGCCAGATCTTGCCTGACAATGCTCGGTCTGTGTTGTTCGTGTTGGTGTTATTGTTTTGTATCGGTGCGCTCAGGGTTACTCAAACCTCTCTGTTGAAATAAAGACTATTTCTGTCCCTGCTGGATCTAGGARTTCTGAAAAACTTGTGGGCAGTTTTGTTCTTGCAAACCTGCACATGTGATTTTTGGACTGGAGCTGTGCATGAGCTTCACTTAAATATTCTTTCTTTTAAATGTGTTTCTTCAAACGATCTTCTAAAAGTACATTCTTCGTTTTTTAGGCACGTGCTTAAATTCAGGGAATTAATAAAGTAGCAAAACCCCTCTGTGACCACCCTTTGTGGATAAGGGTGCCTTGAGAATAAGTCTGTATGTGAATTGGTTTAGTCTGAGAAAGCAGTGTTCACTGCAGCAGGACAAGTATGATCAGAAGAGGGTACAGGAATGAACCGGGAAAAAAAAACCCCATTTATTTGTAATAGAAGTTGATTTTTTAGTTGACGGAAACCCGACAGAAGAAATAACAGGGTTAATTTCAGATGGCCTTTATCTCAGCTCGAAAAAAACATGAGGGTGGTCAATAGGATTAACTACTTTTACACAGATTTGTACATAAACATCGAGGCACGAGACTTGGACATCAGCTGAGTGCCCTCCCTTTGCAATGATTACATTCTTGAGCGTCTGGGGAGGGAATTAGGTGACAATGGCTATTGGCTTCCCCTCAGATGAACCTAGCTGTTGTCATCCGGCYATCAACAGACTGGAAATTACTACCTCGAAGGCACTGCGAGTTTACGAGCAGTTTTATGGGACCGAAACCACTCCCTTCTCCCACTCTGCCCTCCCCACGCTGGAACCGGTGGCATCCAGATACTTGCACAGTGTGGTCATTTGTGAAGGGGTGCAAAAGCCCAAGCTGATGGAGGCACTGCTTGATCAAGGCTGTGGGGTTTTTGTGAGTTTTGTTGTTTTTTTTGTTTTGTTTTGTTTTGTTTTTTGTTAATTTTCAACTCCAGCTCACTGTAGAGTTAGAAACCTGAGGCTGTAGTTTCTCCTCACTCACAGCGCTGGAATATGTTAGTGTAAAATGTGCCTAAAGCAAATTATATTAAATTCTCCAGTCTTCATATAAATGCATCCATCTGTAGTGGATCCATGTATTGTTTTACTTATTATTGGTGTATTGGGAACTTGTTGCTAATGTTTTAATTTAGACAAGTCACCGCTTGTACTATTTGTGTGATGCACCGTATCTGTGGGCTTGGAGGCTACCTCTGCCCAGCCCTGGTCAGTCGACTTGGTTATATAAGGTGCACAGACTGGGGTACCTATAAATATTAGCGAGCAGCTGTCACAAAGGGATTGTGAACGAGCTGCTCGGGACCTCGAAAACATAATAGCTTGGCACCCAGAAATACACAACTTTGATAACATACTACAAGGTCACGTATTGGGGGGAGAGGGTAAGGAGGTGGCGACTGCTTTTAATCTTCGTCTTTTTATAAAAAAAAATTTTTAATTTTTTTTTTTTTTTTTTTTTTTTTTTTTTTATCACATTAGGATATGACATTCCTGGCCTTGCCGGTGGTTTTGTTTGGATATTTATAGCAGCTTCTGGTCATTGTTGAGCAAAGGCGATTGCCCTGCCCTCTGGCCCTTTCTTAAGCAGATTTTGGGCAGAAGCTCCTCTCATGTGGCACTAATTGAAGTGACTGGCGGAGGGGGTGTTGTGAGCACACTTGTGCTGATCTGCCAGGGTCTAAGCCAAGGGAGGAAGAGAGGAAAAAACGGGAAGAAGGGAGGAAAGAGGAAGGGGGGAGGAAAAAAAAAAAAAAAAAAAAAGCCGGGCTTTGCCTCGCTCCGGCAGAGCGGAGGGCTGCGAGGGCTGCCGGCCATCTGTCCGCGCAGGGCGGCACGGCGGGAGCTGCCCGTGCCCGGCGGAGGCTGCCCGGGAGGCGGCAGCGAGCGGAGCCGCTCCGCAGGTGGGTGCCGGCCGGGGGCTCCGCGCTGCGCTCGGGGGTCGCGGGCCCGGCCGGGGCGCGGGGTCTTTGTTGTGCGCGGCGGCGGGAGCGGGGCGGGCCGTCCGCAGGGAGCCTGGCGGGCCGCGGTCAGCCGYGCAGCCGGCCCGGGACGGGCAGMGCCGRGCYRAGTGCGGGAAAGTCCGCTCCTAAAMGCCCGAAGCCAACAAGTTGCTGTAGGAGTGCTCCGTGCGGAGATAGGGCTGGTTTGACCCCCGCACGAGTGAGCCGCGCTGAGGGAGATCGTCAGGGACTGTCAGTGGAGAAGTGTGGCTTCCCTCGGGTGAGTAACCCCGCCTGAGCCGCGGATCCGGCGCTGGAAGGCGATAATATCATCCGGAGCCTGCTCGGTGTGTGTCCGTGTGCCCCGGTTAATGGTTTCCTGCAAGTTGAACGTGAAGCGGGGAAAGGCCAAGGAAAACCGCAGGGGTTGCGGAGGGATTAGGAAGGCACAGGCTAGGAAGTTTCTGACGTGCTGTAAACCAGCATCTCTGTGGGAAGCAACCAACCTGGAATACTGTCCCATATTTTGGAAATTGTATTGGCATTGGAAGTTTTCACCTTTTGTTTAAGTGTTACCGTTTCTGGAGGCTTTTCTTGCTGTTGTTTTTGAGTTACTGTGTAAACAGCCTGAGTAAACAACCGGGTCGTCGCTCTGCGAGTTGTGCAGTGGGGGAAAAGTGAAGTTCAAAGTGTGTGTTTCCTGAAAAAAAAGTTAAAAAATATGTGGTAGTTTTAATATAACAGTAGTAATAGAAGAGTCTGGACTTCATACCTTATTACTATGGTGATGAATGKTATTTTTAAAGATGAAGCAGATTTYGTTCCTGGGTGCCTAAAACTATGTTTTAATGTCTTTTATGCATCTGTTAGAATGTCCTGTTAGTGGGTATGGTTGTGTTTGGTGTTACACAGCTTGCGTTTGTGTTTCTGATAACTTTCCTAGTGCTGCTGCAAAAATAAACACTCAGTTAACGCACATTATCTAAACATATTTTAAAAGCTCAGGAATAAATTGTAGGCAAAATGTAATCATAACTGGCAATTCCTTTGCATGTCTATCTTCAAACGTTAAAAATAAATATCTGTTAGAAGTGTCTGTATGTACCATCCAGTCTAGCTGTAGGTCTTGTTTGTTTCTTTTGTATATGGTTCTAGAAGTAGAACAGTAGTGAAAAATGGAGTTGAGCAGCTGGTAATCCATTTGTCCATTGCTTATCCCTACAAAGATTCCCAGTGCAAAGTTCATGAACTGAGAATGGTTCAAAGCAGAGTCTAGGAACTGGCCATGCTGAAATCCATCAAGAGTTTATAAAAATAAACTGAAAAGCTGAGGTTTGCTTCCTCATAAACCTCTTACGAAACATGTCCACTATCTMGTGTGCTAGTCACTGTATTCAAGGCAAGAAAAACCTTGATGAATGTGGGTATTGCTCCATAGCGTCCTTATMTGTAATCAGGCAAACAAAAATATTTTTACTTTTCCTTGCAGTCTGGAATAGCTGATTTCTTACAGAAGACTTTGCTCCCATTCTTTCTCTCATCTATGTCCTTGCTGCAAAAACAAGTCCTCAAGAATATAAGCGTTTGTTTTACTGGTTATGTTCCTTATCTCTCCTGCCTTCCAATTTATGCTGGTTTGAATATTTCTGTAATATTGAAGTCAGTTGTCATTACTTCCTTCGAGGACCCTATTTAAACACATTTTAGAGTGTGTGCRGCATGATAACGTGTAGCGCCACGGATATATTAATTTTATTCTTACATGGCTCAATTTATTTCTCGTGTTACTTCAGAGAAGCAAGAAACATGATGAACGCTCCATTAGTGGTATTGGTAAGAAATACATTAAYGTGAGTGCCCAGTCAGTAAGAAAGCATTTTTATTTGAAAACCTTCTCGTACCAGACAGCGTACTAATAATCGTAACCTGTGCTGCATATCTTMAGTGCTAGATTGCATTTGCTTTAATTTCTTTGTAAAAACAATTTTTATTCAGGATAGCTGCATTTCTACCTAGATGCCTAGGTTCCTTGTTCCTGTTCAGCCTCTGCATGCTGCGGGAATTTGCTGGGCAGAGGACTGGGTGGCCGTGGGGTAGGCATTTCAGGATGCAGCCCTTCTCAGAAGCCAGCCTTGGTATTGTASGGCACTGAGGTCTGATAATAAAGTGAAGTGAAATGTATTAAAAATATAAGTCAAATCCGAAGACTGCTGTGTTGGTTGGATACCCAAAARCAAGCTGGAATAGCCGCCTCTGACTGATTACTGAAAATGCAGTGAGCGAATTTTGCTAGCTGTGAGGGACAGTGCTCGGTTTTCTGCATGTGAAGCCGCTTTCCACGGGTCCATCCCAGGGCAATAGGCTGTCCTGATCAAAGGACAGGGGTTCTCGTCCCTCATGGTTCTTGGTGCTTGGGGAAGAGGGACAGGAGGACACGGGGGAGCAGAGGGTGAGGTGGCTCTCCTGCTTCGGAGGTTGGGAGCCTGGGTCCAAACATGCTGAGCAGGGACCACTGAGGGAGAGCCTGCAGCAGGGCAAGGGTGTATCACTGYGGTGGAAAGTTGTAGAGCCACTTACAAAGCTAATGGGGAACGTGACTGCAGCCACAGGTGCGTATGGCAGAAGTGGAAAAGAGGTATCTATGGGAGGGAAGGATTTTGGAGTGTCATGTTGTGGCAAAACACATGGTAGTCATGATGGTGATGTTTTTTAAGATGAAAGAGAGATGAGAACTCTGATGGAGCAAGCAATAAAGGCAGGCGGGTGATGCCAGGAGCCAAAAGTCTTAATGCTGCCACAAGGGAGGCTTTGCAGCTGGATAGATAACCCAGTTTGGGTGCTTTGGAAAGAGTGAGTCAGGAGCTGGGAAGAACCATTGAGGTTCCTGTTTGTTATCACGGACCAAGGAGGAAGCACTGGGCAGCTGAGCTGAGAACATATGACATGCAACGATTATAATGGGGTGCAGTGTGAGGGATGACAGCCAGGAGGCAGGGGCACAGTGAATAACCTTTAGCCTTTTCTGTGGCATATGTGAATTTGGGAAGACAAACTTTTAAGTTCAGAGCAAAATTTAAGGATAGCTACCAAAATGATTCTGTAGCACTGARGCTGTTTACTCTCTGTTAGTCTTTCCCCAAGATTTTCAGTTAGTGGGATCTCCATCTTCTGACATGTATAACAACATCATTGTTGTCAACTGGAGATCGTAGAATGCACTGAAATTAATTTTTATAGACTTTGCCGGATCATTTTTCTTTAAAAGAGACMTAGTTGCACTTCTAATAACAGATTCACTTTGTTGTAATCATTTGCTAAGCAACAGGCTCACTATGCTGCCTTTGAAGCACAAAAGCAAGGGACGCTTTGACACATCACGTAAAGCTTACGTAAAGTTTGTGAGCAGCAGCACAAAGAGTGAGTGATGAATGCTCTGGCTTTTGTTTCTTAYGTTAAAATAGTTTAAAGTTGGGTRTTTTTCTCTGCTGGCTGCCATCAGYAATAGAAGTATCAACAGGAGAAAAATGGGTCGCTTGGGTTTTAGCATTAAGCAGCAAATCCAGGGCCAATAGGATTTAGCTGGGATGTTAAGGTTTATTCGGTGCATTTAGTTAATGAAGTTGGGGGGGGAGGAAGAGGAAAAAAGTCAGTGTCTGGGCTTGGGGGAAGGGATGAAATAGCTTGCTGCCACCAGGTGCATCCTACAGTGACTCCTCCTGATTGATAGATGCTCTACAAGACAAAAAACAACTGAGCGAAGGAGGTTTTAATTAAAAATCAGCAGCTCAATGCCAGCTCTTTTGGATTAAAATCAAACTGAAAATCTTTGTAACAGGTACCCCCCTAGTTTTAATGGTGTCTGTTTTTACTCCTRCAGGTGTAGTGCCCATCAGTTGGGAGGGGGAAGAGCGAGATGATGATAATAAGCCCAAGCATCTGTAGAGTGGTCCTAGGGCCATGGAGATACTCAGCAAGGGCGATTGTGTGTTAACATTCATYAGTCAGGCACAGAAATCAAGTTCAGGCTAACAAACTCCCATTTGAGCGCTCTGCCAGATTTCTAGCAGACAGCCCATCATCCCCTTTGCACATGGGTGGCCCTTCACTGTGCTCACCCGTATTCTGAAGCCTTTGTGTCCCCTGCCAGAGGCTGTCATCTTGTGTACACACATGCTGTTCAGCATCTTGACTTGCTTTCTGAGCCCTGAAAGCGTTCAGCACAGAGACACAAAAAAATTAGTATAGAAAGTCATTGTTATTTAAAATATAAAGAGCTGTTATCTATACTTCAAAAAGAAATTTGCCAACCACCGTGAATTGATCTCTTCGCCCAAGAGAGTTAGTTTGTTGGTTTTTTTTTATTCTGGTTCTCTAATTCTGGCTTCCACTTGGATCAGATCTTGTTTTCTCCGAAGCTGTAATGGTCATTTAGAGTCRGATGAAGTTTCTTTCTTCCATGCTCCTCTTCAGAGGTCTGTGCTTGACCATAGTGTCACGATGCTGGGAGTTGTTGAGCAGCAGTTAACACTGTCAGGACTCTGCCAGTGACCTCAGCAGGCTTTCTCCTATGGGGAATGTGGGCATCAGTGGCAGGATTTGACTAACAATGTGGAATAAATAAGCARCAGGTTTACAAAATTAATAAAAAGAGTCCATGTGCCTGTTGTTTTTGGCATCATCTAATTGCTCAGACAACCTATAGYTTGATACAGTTCTGTGCAGAGGGTGCTGCAATATTTCTTAGTAGGATTTATTGCAATGGCASTGAAAACTTTCATAAAATAGTCTGGCGAAAAACTTGAATGTGTGATTTTTTTTGTTTTGTTTCTTTTTGTTCTTACAAACACTTTAAGATAAATATTTTCATATAGTAATTAAAAAAAAAAGAGTGAAAATGCTTAGGAGAACACTGTACTTTTCTGCCCTGTCCAGTATGGCTTTATTTCTGTTAGATTCACAGT